GCCGCAGCTCGAACTCGGCACAGCGCAGGTGCGACTCGCGGTAGTGCTGGATGAGGTCGTAGATGCTGCTGAACTTGAGATTGTCAGTCAGGTAGTACTTCATGGCGCCGTTCTCCACAGTGGAGCGGATCAGGCAGTGCTGCACACGGCCCGACCGCCTATAGGAAAGGGCCATCATCAGAGCTGAGGCCAGGTGCAGCCAGGTGGACACACCCCCCCGCCACCTGCCTCCCCATGGCTGGCTCCAGGGTAGGAGGGCGTTACCAGAAGGACAGGGTGTAGGCATTGGGGTGGCTCTCACTCTCCCGCACAAGGAAGGTGCCGTCCTTGGCGCCCGCCTCAGCACAGTACTCCTGCAGCAGCTTCTCTGCGTTTGTCCTCTTTTCCATCTTCTTGTGGAACCATTTCTCCCTCAAATGCAGCTCCGTGGGTGGAAGGTCCTGAGCCACAGACAGAATGGGGGATTTCTGGCAACTCCTGCTGCTTCCCCTGTCCACCACCTCCAGACAGCTACTGCTGTGGGGCCCTCCTGAAGGCCTCAGGCTCCCTGACCTCCACAGTTAGTGGGACTGGAGAGAGCATCCATGCGACTGTCCTTCCCGGTTACACAGGCCACAATCTAAGGCCAGTCAGGCCCTGCAGAAAGAGCCTGGAATCTTACTGGCTAGGTACCAGGAGCAGCCAGCCAGTCATCGAGGAGCCAGCCAGGCCCTGGTACCCAAAGAGGTAGGTGTTAGGGCTGAGGCTCCCCATGCCAGCCAGCTGCAGGATAGGAGAAGCCGAACAGAAGGTCTCAGGCCCCAAGGACCAACCGAGCTCAATGAGAAGAGCCACTGGTCCCACTTACCTGGGACAGTTCCTCCTCCACAGCCTGCTCAATGTCATCGCTGAAGGACAGCTTGGCGTCAGCAATGGCACAGTAGTGCCGAGTCCACTTCTAGAAAGCAAAGCTGGCATGAGTCTCCCCCGAAATCAGCTCGGGCTGGGGGATCCCCCTTTCCCGGCTTCATGCACTTAGTGATTTCATGGAATTTGGTCCCCTTAGAGATATTTTTTGAACATTTATTTATTTTGGCTTTGTTATTTGGGACTTTTAAAAAAACTAGTGTGTCCAGCTGGGTGTGGTGTTGCACGCCTGTAATCCTAGCACTTGAGAGGCTGAGGCAGGAGGATCACTGAGAGTTCGAGACCAACCTGGGCTACATGTGAGTTCCAGGTCAGTCTCCACTACACAGTGAGACCCTGTCTC